TGACAAATGCACCCATTCGTATAATAGATGTGAAACTATGCAATTCAGGGCATTTCAATGAAAGAAACAAAATAGGGCAGGCTAATGTTCAAAAAAGTCGAAAAATGGGGGTACAATTCAGGTCCTTCAAACAGGAAAATGTATAATTTGGACAACATTTCAAAACGCGCACCTCTCCTAACTAGACGAGATCCACTATATCTTGAGTTATTAGCTGATACCATTGACACGAGTCTTCACTGACGATGCTCCTCCACAAGATTGACTAGTAAAGGCGAAGAAATGATTCATTGACGCCTATTTACCAAAGGCCTATTATGAGGCTTTCTAATGCCACGGCCTTGCTTGGGTATGTCCTTCAACTTCATTACTTGAACAGTCCTCTGCCTCTTTGCTGAAGAACAATCAATAAGGAAATATCATCACATGTTTTGTAGTGCACGATGAGTTATTTAAGTCTACGCGCTATAAGAAACCAAACTAACCATTTTCAACTTCTTGGTAACACTCATGGAGCTTTCGCTTTGTGGCCTCAAGTTTCAAATGTTCTGCATCCTCATCGGGGCATTTCAGTTTCTGATACAACAAAATGATGAACTGTTAGTTAGAAATCGAAGCTTTACATGAACTAGAAATTGACACCCTTCGAGCACTCACGTTTTGTTGAGTAGGCACAGGCCTTGTTTGAATTTTTCTTTGGTCAGATTTCTCCTGGAGTTTCATTTCATGATCATTGTTGAGCTTCTGTTCGAGTGTTGGCTTAGTTGGTCTTCCACGTCCTGAGTTGCCTCCGGGAGGCTTATTTGGTTTGACAAGTACTGAAGTTTGTTTCTTTTCTTGCTCGTCCTTTTGGCCCACGCTGATTATAACATCTGAAAGAAAATCCACGATTAGATGAAGAATCGAATAGAAAAGACTAGATTTGAAATTATTATAAGGACAAAAGTTTCTACTCACTTCCATCATCATCCATGCCATCAAAGATCTACATTTAATATATAAATGATTTCAATCATGAAGATAAAGATAAATGATTTTGTCGAAGAAAGGTAAGACGTTAGGCATACTTGTGACAGCTCGATTGAAGTTGTCTGCGTAAAAAGGAAAGTATGTCGTCCAAGGGTGGGACAGGAAGTCCTCCGTCTTCTTCATCAACAACGAATGCTTTCGTGGACTCAGATTTCCTTTCTGTACCAATAATTTCACAACTCACCACATTAGACTTCAATAATGACCTTAAACATAGAATACAGAACACTAAATTTTGGAGGACCTGTTAATGTTGCTCGAGCATCCATCCACTCTTGTAACATTTCAATCCATCCCCTGTGATGCATGAGAAATGAATAAACACAACGACACTCGTTTACCATATCCATCCAGTCTAATTTAAGTCATTGTAAGGGAACAATCAATGTTTCTACACAACGACAGTTTCTTATATAACCACAATCAAACACAAAAAGTCACGGTTAAGTGCACAAAGTGGTGAAACTAGGTATATGCTCCGATTACTTAATAGTACTGAAAACTGTACATATAAGGTAAGGACATCATCACACTCCCTGTAATATCCACGCTAGCATGTAAATTAATAGAAAACGATATGAAAATCCAACAAAAGCTGCAAGTGATGACAAAATGGTGCGATAACTCAAAAAGAAATATTGTTCAAAACTATATTAAATGAAGCATCATGTCGTAGTTCAGCAGCAATAAAGAAAGAGTGACATACTTGACCATCTTCCTGACCAGACATCGAATATTTTTTGAGTTGTGCCATCTGAGAGTATTAACATACTTCCCAATTTCTGTGTTCTGATATAAAAATATATACGTTGAGTACGAATTGCTGATAAAAGAAATTGCAAATCAAATCTATACATTGGTAAAAGATCAAACCTGCAGAATCTCCACGGACAAAGCCATCATTTGAAGCCTCTTTAAGCTCTTATATATATTCGAATCAGACTGTCAAAAGAACATAACACTATCAAAATCTTACAACT